ATTCTGCTCATGTAAAAAAATATATTTTATTTTTAATTACTTTTTGGGGGTTTCTTTGGTTACTTAATTCTCTACTGAAATTGTACCCTTAGTTCAGATTTTCATTACTTATTGATAAGTAGTGAGTTATTTATAATTTTTATTAGGACAGATTATGAGTAATGAAAGTTTATTTCTTACCAAATTTTATTATTTTAATTATCTCTCACGATTAAATGATAAATACGATATTATTTTTTCAAATGATCTTCAAAAAAGGTTAAAACAAGGAAATGGATCCACGATAGTAGGCTAGAGGCACCACTCTGAGACATTCACCCAGGTCAGTACACAGCAGTTGCTCTGAGGGTAGGGAGACCAGCTTTGGGAATATGGTTTGAAGGAGACAGGGAACAGATGAGATCCAAAGACAGGCTTGGCTGGAATAAGGGGCAAACCGCCACTCAGTTTTAGTGGTGCAGGCAGTGCAGGGTTGGAGACTGCACTGTTGTATGAAAAGTACAAAGCCCACCAGGGTAAGAAGCCAATGGGGGCTGTGGCTCAGTGCCCAGCATAGACACCACCTACCTCAGTACAGGCCATGCTGAGTGATTCTCCACCAGAATGTGGGACCCAGAGTCTGAAATACTCATCTAGGAAAACCTCACAGGACCTGGGCACTGAATGGACAGCAAGACAGAACGACCCAGAGTGTGGCAGCAGCAGGGCTAGAAACCAGTTCTGAGGGGAGAGAGAGAGACAGAAGGGATGGCTCAACCCGATAGAATCCAGAGGCATGGAAGATTCAGTGAGCTAAAGCAGAGCTAGAATGCTAAGAGCTAGAGGCCAATTAAATTCACTGAGAAATCAGAAAAGCAATTCCACTCACAAAAGCTTTGCACACTTTTAAATATCTAGGAATCAACCTTGGCAAAGAGGTGAAAGACCTCTTTGATGAAAATATAGAACAATGAAGAGAGAAATTGAAGGAGGTAGTAAAAAATGAAAGCCCTTTCCTGTTAATGTATAGGCAGAAATAATATTGTTAAAATTACTATAATACCAAAAGCTACCTACAGATTCAGTGCAATATCAACTGGAATTAATATCAAGAATCAACTAATGGGATTACATTAAATTAAAAAGTTTCTGCACAGCAAAAGAAACAAGTAGCAGTATGAAAAGACAATGTACAGAATGGAAGAAAAATCTTTGCTACACACTCTTCTGATGGAAGATTAATATCTAGAATATAAAGAACTAAACAAAATTAACAGTCCCCAAATAATCCAATCAAAAAAGGGGAAATGGGGCCGGGGATTTAGCTCAGTGGTTCCAGTGCCTGCCTTGCAAGCACAAGGTCCCGAGTTCAATCCCCAGTACCAAAACAACCCAAGAAAACAAAAATGGGCAAATGAATGGAATAGGCATTAAAAAAAAAAGAGGCATAAATGGCCAGTAAGTATATGGAAAAGTATTCAACATCTTTAGCTATTAGAGAAATGGAAATCAAAACTATACTGAGATTCTACCTCATCCCAGCCAGAATGGCTATCATCAACAATGCAAAAAACAATGAATGCTGGGAGAATATAGGGGAAAAGGAACCCTTCTACATTGCTTTGGAAATGCAAACTAGTACAACTACTATAGAAATCAAGATGGAGCTTCCTCAGAAAATTAAAAATGGAAATGTCATTTTCTCCAGCTATACCATGCTGGGGTTAATTCCAAAGATAATTGAAGGTATCAGATTATTGCCATGTATAAATATTCATGTTTGTAGTGATGTAATTCACAGTAGTTATGCTGTGTCAAGAGGAGAATGGTTAAAGAAAGTGTAGCATGTATACACAAGGGAATATTATTCAGCCATAAAGAAAAATGAAATGTCATTTGCAGAAAAATGAATAGAACTGGAAGCCATCATGTTCTGTCAAATAAGCCAGACTCAGAAAATTAAATATTGTGTGTTTTCTCTTACATGGGAAACCTAAAATGTAAATATGTGAGTGGATAAAATAATGGAGAAATGATAAAAAACTGGAAGATATACTGTTGGAGAAGAGGATCAGGAGTTATGAGGCGAGAAGGAACAGAGGTAATTGGATTGAAAATCATCAAAATATGTTATATGGAAGTACCAGTTGCCCAAAATGAATATCATTATTCTGTATTACAAACATTTACTAGTAAATAAAAGTAAAAACAAGAAAATAAGACCACTTATCATTCAACTCTCAGGCTTAACAAATTTTAACTCTTTGGAGTATATCCTTTTAGATTAGTTCCTTCTCTCTCTCTCTTAAATGGCATCACATTATGAGTGAAATTTTATATTTCTTCACTTTCAGATAATATTTCAATATCAGAAAGATCAAATCTGTGTCATCATTTTTTATAGCTGCATAGTTTTCCATAGCTTGTATATGCCATAATTTTTAAAGATTATTCATTATTTTTATTTTTAACTGAAGCATAAAATTTGTACATATTTATGGGTTACCATGTGATGCTTAATATATGTTCACAGTGCATAATATTCATTAGGGTAAATCTGTAACTTCTCAAGTATTTTATATGACATACCATAGTTTATTTAAACTATCCACAATAAATGACTATTTTACTCATTTTCTAGGTTACTACAGTGAGTCTCCAACTTAGGAATGAGTTCCGTTCTGGGAAAATGTTCATAAGTTGGATTCATCTGTAAGTCTAACAAAGTGAGTCTTATATACCTTTGACAGAAATATGCAATGTAAAGCATAAAAAACCAAACACACACAAGTACTACAAATAAACTCTTTCCTTTTATAGTTATCTTAAAATGGTGGCACAGTGCAGTACTGGCTTCTAGGGGATTGCATGGAGCGAAGTGACAGAGTTTCTAACTGGAGGAGGGAGGGTAGGTGGGAGATGGTGGAGTGTTGTCTAGTATCTTTTTGGTTTGGTCCAATCTCAATTATTTTCACTTTTGTTTCCATGGTTACTGCTTTGAGCTTCCTAGCAGTCCCCTCCACATCACCACTGCTTTTCCTGCTTTTCTTTTTTGGTACCAGGGATCAAACTCAGGACCTTGCGCTTGCAAGGCAGGAGGCAGAACCACTGAGCTAAATCCCTGGCCCTTTTCCTGTTGCTTTTAAATTTCCTAGGCACTGATTGAGCACTGTACTACTGTGCAGTATCGAACTGTACAGTAAGCACACAAAAGCACAACTGTGACAATATCTGCCACACACTTGAGCTACTTTTGCAATTTGTTCCCATCTATAAATGTTTGTAATGAGAGGTCCGTTAGTATCTATGACAGTTTGTAGCTCACATGTTCTAAGTCAGGGACTTACTGTATTTGGATTAGTCACTTTTCTGTTGCTGGGACAAAATGCCTGACACCTGCAACTTAAAGTAGTAATGGGTTATTTTGGCTCACCTATTTGGAGGGTTTAGTCAATGGTTATCTCACTCCAAGGCTAAAACATCATGCAGAAGGCATAGTGAAGGAAAGCTGGTCACCTATGGCAGATGGAAGGGGGTGGGGGAGAGAGAGACTTGAAAATTGGCATTAATTTATTATACTGTAGAATATTTTTTCTCCCTGCATATCATTTTTGAGTGGACAGTGGACTTCCCATGTTTGGTATTTTCCCACAGAGTAGGTTAGACTCTAGCTTTCTTTTGTTAAGTCAGATACAACTGTTACAGCTAGATGTCAATCATACCATAGTTCACAGATCTGTCTCCACAGCCTGCAGGTCTGGGATGGAGTGCCAAGAAGGTGGACACCTGGGTGTGCCAGCAAAGGAAGTTTGACCACATGGTGTTTTCTCTCCATATTTGGTGAAGCTCCTGTGCAAGTGTCAATTTCTAGGTCCAGCTTTTCTAACTGCCATCTTGTCTCATTTTACCCCATCTGCAGCTGTGCCCAGCTTCCTTCCAGCCATAATCTGACTCAGGGTATGGCCTTTATGAGAAATCAGGGGCTTTGAGAAACTCTCCTTTCATGTGTCAGTGGTCAGCTTCAGCAAAAGGAAAGCCAAGGGGGTGTGGTTGCTCCCTGCTGTTTAGACTCTTCAGCCATCAGATCTGTACCTTCAGGTAGGAGACTGTGTTCTGGAGAATTTTACAGTTGTTCCTTGGTCTTTGGTTTTATTCACTTTTTATCTAATCTATTTTATTTATAGCTGAAACTTTTCTAAGTTTGTGCTTTGTGGATAATATCTCCCTGGTTTCTAAATTTGAAGGTGATTTTCTTTTATCTTTTATGACACTTTGAACAGGACAATGGAAATCTGAGAATGGAGGATGTGAGACTCTTGTGCTCTGATTCACATTTCCAGTTCTTTTAATATCAAGCCCATTGATCATAATAGATGAAGTTGTAGCCAGTGGCCAAATCCAGATGAAAATCATTTTGAGCTTAAGGGGTACTAATTACTTCATGTGACTTTTATATTATTCTTGCATAGGCTGAAATCTTCATACTTCTTTTCAAGGTACTTCAAATGGCAATATTGATAATCAGGTTCTAATCAGAAAATAAATTGAGACTAACCTTGAAATAAGTTCAAATATTTATTCCTTAATTTATAAGATAAATTTTGTCTGCATTCTTTATATTCCCCAGGCTCAAAAGATATAAAGACAAATAAGAAATGGCTTCTACCTTCCTCAAAGAAGCACACATAATAATATGTTAGTTTATTGGCAACAACTACTTCATTTTTTCTTTTCCAGGTCAAGGAACAATTCGTCTTTGGAAGATGGAAGTACTCAGGATAATTAAATGACTTTCTTCCTAGCAATGGAGATCTTGTTTATTTGAGCAAATCAGTGAAAAAATTATTTTACCATGGGCTTACAAGAGGCTGGGAGTATTTCTCTCACTAATCCTGAAATAACAGAGGTATAATTTTCCCTCTTCTATAGTCCTAGACTCACTGGAATCAGGAAAGTTAAAGTTGGATGAATTTATATTTTCTTTTGGTATTTTTGTTAAGTATATATTATTCTTCATTTTATTAATAACTGGCATCAATGTGTAATCACATATTTATTTTAAATACTGCTATATTACTATCTTCATATAGAACACAAGACAAAATATAGCTTCAGTTTCTGAAGAAGAGATATTTTAGTTCTGAACTTTCTAAATGCTAGTTGCTATAGGTCACTAATAGAAGATAGTTTGCTAGCTAGAAATAAAGATATGTATTCTTCAGAGGCAAGCAAATGGGTTTTATCAAAAGTAGTGGATTTTGTGTATCCAGCTTTATTTAACCCTTCTTTTGGTAAAAATTACTTTAACCTTTTCCTGCTCCATCTTATCTCAATAGGGCTATCAAATAAAGTATATTCTTAGCCAGTGCGTGATCACATGACTCAAACTACATCCATGAGCCAGATTTTTTTTCCCCTGAGAATTCCCTACCTCATAAAACCATTGTGAGGAGGGAGTTAATACATGCAAAGTCTTTAGAAGCATTACTGACACAGAATAAACAGTATATAGTGTGAGCTTTTATTATTCTAAAGCAGAGTGACATAGAATAGAAATTTCTTGGAATTGGAACATTATAGTTACACTGCCCTGATATTCCCTTAATTTCTCTAACTTGTTTCCTAGAGCATCCTAATTTTTGTCCTTCCCAAAGCCTGATTATGAAGTGTTCTTTGCATTTCTATGAATTCCCTCGTATTCTTTCAATAATTTCACTCAATAAATCACTCAAGTCTCTATTTCTTGCAATCCAAATGTCTTGATGGATAAAGAGAACTCAGTAAAGCTCTAAATATTGCAATTAAGTGATATTCCCCAAATTTTCTTTTATGCTTTATTTTGAAGGGTGTTTTCTTATTCCTTCAGAATACAGTGCTCTCTCATTCTGGGAAATTATGTCAAAATAATAAAACCACAGTAGGATTTTCTGACAGAGACTGTTAGGACATGAAAAATTATGGAAGTAAATAGCTGGGCTCAGAGTAGCATTAATTCTTTTTTTTGGGGGGGGGTACCAGGGATTGAACTCGGGATCTTGTGCTTGCAAGGCAGGCATGGCACCAGTGAGCTAAATCCCCAGCCAGAGCAGCATTAATTCTTAAAAGAAAAATTATCATTGCCACTGAATTCCTGTGGGTCATATATTATTTCTAATCTTTATAGTGAGTTTGCATAAATATTAACTCCAATTTTTAGATGAAATAGCTGAATGTTTGGAGCTTATTCAGCTAGCCAGAAACTAACTAGAATTATACACCAAGTTTGCTCACTACAAAGCCTGTACTCTCTTTGTAATTATAATATCACATCTGAATTTTCTTAAATTGTATAATTCTATTTCTATGATCGGTATGTTAAGTTGAAGTTTTTAAGTGGTGCTTACTTATTTTTTCATTAAATATTTATTGAGTAATTATGTGAGGAGTTAAAGTATCATGGGCCTGTGTAAATATAGCTTCAGGGAACATATCAAAACATATTTGAAGAAGTAGGGGTGACAACATCATACAAAGAAAGAACTTGTGTAAATTATTTAGATTAAATCTAAAATATGACTACTAGTCAAAGGCAATGATAATAAGCATCCCAGGTAATCCACTAACAATTTATTTCAATACACTACAAAAACCCCTTTATTTTCTTTCTTGTGCCCCTAATTCCCATCCATCCTATTTTTCTAAATACATTCATAATATGGTGTATTTAGATGTCTTTATAAGTTCTAGAAAATTTTAGTCCACTTACTTTAGGGTCTTGCTATGCAGCAAAAATGTAAAAGTTATCATTTGCTAAAGAGAACCTGGATAGAGCTCCAAATATTTCAATATTACTGCTAAGAAGTTTTAGACACATCTGTATGGGATTGAGGTAAATAGCCCCAATCCTAGCCTCCAAGGATCTTTAGGATGCAATGGTTGTGCAGAAACTTTTATAGTTAAAGCTGAAAACCACTTTTTGTTTACCTTTTCCAGCCCTCATAATAGGGATCTGGTAGGAGTGTGCAGAAAACCATAATTTTAATCTTTTCCTTCCTCTCAGTCTCACACCATCTATGATCCTTGTTCAGCAGCAGAAGGAAAGAGGTTAAACAAGTTGCCCTGCTGACAGCAGAGTTTACTTAGTTTGTGCAGAAAAAATTTTCTGTGTGCTCAGAGATATCATTATTTGCTTTCTATGTAATGGAAAAAACCATAAAGGTAATGAGTAGACACTCAGGCAGTTGAAATACCAAAGAAGCATAATTAGGCTTTGGTTCTACCCAGGCAGGAAGTTTCTGCATATTCAAATTCATTGCTAATGATTAATTTTATTTGTAAAGTCTTAGTCTGTGTGAGATTATATTTGGAAAATATGTGCAGCGCGATTGGGGGATGGTAGTGTTTCTATGGAAAATAAACTGGTGAAAAGAACAAAGCCAGATAGAGTTTGGATGCCTGAATAAATGGTTAGATCAAAATGAGGTAAGCAGTACATGAGTGTGAACTTTTATTATTATTAAGCAGAGAGAGTGGCAGAAGGTTAGAAAGTAATCAGAATTGAAGAAGCTTAAAAAACAAACAAACAAATAAACAGCAACAACAAAACCCAAACTTTTGTTTTTCTCATAATTGGCTTTGATATGGTAAAATATCTGGTCTCCTTTTAATTTCTTTTCAAAAACTTTTTTTCTGGTGGTTTTTCCTTTTAGAAAAACAAGTTATAGCTAGTTTTATAGTTTCTCATTCTCTCCTTAATTTCTCTGAGCTCCTTAGGGTGCTAGCCATGCAAAGATGGGTCTTACATGGGAGAAGATGAGCTCTTTGTATTCAGAGTGAAGAGTGGGACCAGGAAAGAGATATCCCCAAAGCAGCACCAAACTGGCCTTTGGAATGTGTGGATAGGTGGCTGGAGGTCCCCTAAGGAAGGGGTGGCTGAACAGAGGAACCTGGACACTCTCAGTGCTTCCCAATCCACACCATCCCAGGTCACTGGTTCCAAATAGGGTAGAGGTTTAAGCAGACTTCAGAGTCCCAGACAACCATTCCAAGCTAAGTGTTTCCAGGGGTGGATCCTGGAACCTGCCTTCTTAACCTGTAATTCTGAGGATCAGCCAGGATTATGAGCTACCGTTCTAGGACCTTTGTGAGGAAGGACACTTTCTCACCCCAGTGGCGCAATTGCTAGCTTCCAGGCACATGAATGGACACCAGTGTGTTCTTAATTTCCCATCACTGGGACAAAATACCTGACATCTGTAACTTAAAAGAGAGGTTTATTTTAGCTCACAGTTTCGATGGGTTTATTCTGTGGTTGGCTGGCTTTAAGGCAGAAACAGCATGGCAAAACAACATGGCAGCCAAGAAGCTGAGCAAGAAAGGCAGGACCAGGTACAAGAATAAACCCTTCTAAGTCAAGATCATGGTGGCCAGCCCCTTCTGCCCAGGCCCTACCTCTTTCTGTGAGATTTGGGGAGACATTTTAGATCTGAACCCTAACAAAAAATGGTAAGTTTGGGGCTGATTTTTCACTGCGTCGTCTTTTTAAGGCACTCCCTGTTACCCCCACCCCCAAACTGCTCACTTCACTCTCCAGAAATCTGAATCTGACAGGTTTCATCTGCCTTCCCATCTCTCGGCTTGACTTTGCCTAGGCCGAATATTAGGTGGCTGCTATAAGTAAACATGTATCTTAAAAATGAATATCGAAATATAGTAATGTCACTTCTTAGTGGAGGCTTTAGAAGATGGAAATTTACCTACTGATTTTCAAAACTTTTTAAAAAATGTCTTGAAACTTCACTGCCTTCGTAAATAAAATATTGTACATTTGTGTTTTGCTAATGACTCAGAATTTCTATTACAAATAGAACTTTACTGTGCTCTTCTACATAATAAGGAAGTTATTACGTACATAGTTCACTTTTTCTAGGATTTTTAGTTTGTGTTATTATTGGTTTGGTTTGCCTGTGGGATGCTGTTAATGCTGTCTCTCCTTTGAGGGCCAGATGTCTTTGGGATACCACTGTCAGTGTGTCTTCCTAGGAGATAAACATTGCTTTGTTTTTTCATCTTTTTCTTATATCTGTGGGATGCAGTACTAAAGAACCAAACTTCTTAGAACTAAGTCTTAATAAGCTAGATTCTGGGCAAAGGTCTGGCCATCTCTCCTGGGAGTACCTAACTGTTCAGCTTTGGGATATGAATGCCATGTGTACTCTGGCTGCCAGGAAGATATTGTTGATGTGTTTACTTTGTCTACTGAGTTCTTGGAGTGGTTAGGTTGAAATATCTGAGGAGGTTTGGTCTATAAGCACAAAACTTGTAGTGAGCATGTGATAGTGTGCATCGGCATCTTCCAGAATAACATGTTCAAACTAGAGAGAAAAGAGGTAATACCCAGCTGCAAAGGGGAGGAAATACAAGTCAGAACATTGATTTTTCTGTTCTCAGGATAGCAGCAATGCTGGGTCCTGGGTTGCAGCAAGAAAAGGTCTTAACTTCTCCACCTTCTTGTCATTTTATTTCTCCACTAGGAAATCACTTCGCAGCTGTCATAGCCACACAAACACTTGGCTGCTTGGAAGTTTAGAAAAACGCAACCCTTTTCTATGAGCTGATAATCAGAGCAAAGAAAAGCATCTGCAGGGTTATCTTAAGGAAGCAAAGTAGAATTAATTAATGCCCAATCTCCAAAGAAAGCCATCGCTCCCTGTCTGGTCTGCTATAGAAGGTATTAGGTGCCACAGAGCAGTTGTGTACAGAGACAAAATGTTTGGGCACAAGAGGGAGGACATTCCCAGCTTACAGGCTGTGGCTAGTAGTCACTTGGTGGGGCCAGGCTTACAGGGCACACCAAGCAAGTCACAGATCTGTATACTATTGAGGTCCATGAAGGGCTTCCTCTTGGCTTTCTGCTTTTTGCCATTA